TCATTAATTGTATGTCATTTTAAGGTAAAATTTCAGATTTTATATATATTTAGATAAACAAAAATTTAAACAAATATTGATATATGACTCGAGTCTAAATATCGGTGTTTTTCGTTTACTGTAAATACATCCTCAGCTAAACGTGAGAGATAAATGGTTAAACCGCCATCCTCAAATCAGACCCCACTCGAACCTGTCTGGAGGACGGGTAATAGCTAGTTTATATAAATAGCGGAGTAACGGAGGACGATGCAGCGATGGAGGAAGGTGGAGAAGATTCATCAACATGGAGGTCAGCACCTAGCTGACGTCTTAGCGTGGACCATCCGCGAGAGACTATGACAAAGAAGAAGAAGAACTTGAAGAAGCATTCAATCGCAATCCTACCTAAGACTGCCTTAATGGCCCACCAGTCTATTAGCACTCTCGATGGCTTAGTATATATACGTGTGCGTGTGCGTGTGCGTGCGCGTGCGCGTGCGCGTGCGCGTGCGCGTGCGCGTGCGTGTGTGTGTGTGTGTGTGTGTGCGGAACGTCGGGCAGGCAGACTAGTTAGTACATGGGAGGCTGGAGACGAAGCAACAAACCTGAGGGTTCGTCTCTGCGGCGAAGATGCTGGGGGATGCTGTGATGGATGCTGGGGGATGTTTGTGAGGATGCTGGGGGATGTTTGTGATGATGCTGAGGGATGTTTGTGATGATGCTGGGGGATGTTTGTGAGGATGCTGGGGGATGTTTGTGAGGATGCTGGGGGATGTTTGTGAGGATGCTGGGGGATGTTGGTGAAGATGCTGGGGGATGTTGGTGATGATGCTGGGAGATGTTGGTGATGATGCTGGGAGATGTTGGTGATGATGCTGGGAGATGTTAGTGATGATGCTGGGGGATGTTGGTGAGGATGCTGGGGGACTTTTGTGAGCATGCTGGGGGATATTGGTGAGGATGCTGGGGGATATTGGTGAGGATGCTAGGGGGATGTTTGTGATAATTCTGGGGGATGTTTGTGATGATGCTGGGGGATGTTTGTGAGGATGCTGGGGGATGTTTGTGAGGATGCTGGGGGATGTTTGTGAGGATGCTGGGGGATGTTTGTGATAATGCTGGGGGATGTTTGTGATAATGCTGGGGGATGTTTGTGAGGATGCTGGGGGATGTTTGGAGTTGCTGGTGAGGATGCTGAGGGATGATGCAGGGATGGTGCGGTTGATCCTTGAGTGATGCTGTCGGGGATGTGTCATGCATGCTGGAGGATGCGGTGGGGACGATGTGAGATGCTGCACGAATGCTACAGCGGTGTCGCAGAGACGCTCCAGGGATGCTGTGGCGATGTTGTAGGGATGCTGTTGGGACGGTGTAGGGATGTTGCCAGGATGCTAGGAGATGGCGTAGGGATGCAACAGATATGCTATAGCAGTGTTGCAGAAATGCTGCCAGGGTGCTGGGAAATGGTGTAAGAATGCTCTAAGGATGCTATAGGGATGGTGTAAGAATGCTCTAGGGATGCTATAGGGATGGTGTAAGAATGCTATAGGGATGCTATAGGGATGGTGTAAGAATGCTCTAGGGATGCTATAGGGATGGTGTAAGAATGCTAAGAATGTATAAAATTGCAAAACATAATACTTGAATATAATTATTTATCATAATCAATTATGTGCATTAATTCGTATATGCAATAAGCAGGAAGGAGAAAGATTCACATTTATATGGTTTCTCTCCCGTGTGTGTTCTCAAGTGGATTTTCACATGACCTAACTGCGAAAATCTTGCATCACACAGTTCACATTTATACAATTTCTCTCCTGTGTGAGTTCTCATGTGGATTTTCACGTAAGATTTCTGTATAAATCTTGCGTCACACAGTTCACATTTATATGGTTTCTCTCCCGTGTGTGTTCTCAAGTGGATTTTCACGTAATATTTGTCTGAAAAACTTGCATCACAAAGTTCACATTTATACAATTTCTCTCCTGTGTGAGTTCTCATGTGGGATTTCACGCTACTTATCCGTGAAAAGCGTGCATCACACAGTTCACATTTATATGGTTTTTCTCCCGTGTGTGTTCTCAAGTGGATTTTCACATCACCTAACTGCAAAAAACTTGCATCACAAAGTTCACATTTATACAATTTCTCTCCTGTGTGAGTTCTCGTGTGGATTTTCATGGTATCTATCCGTGAAAAGCGTGCATCACACATTTCACATTTATGCGGTTTCTCACCTGTGTGTGTTCTCATATGGGTTTTCATGTTACCTATCCGTGAAAAACTTGCATCACACAGTTCACATGTATATGGTTTTTCTCCCGTGTGGGTTCTCATGTGGATTTTCATGCTATCTATCCGTGAAAAGCGTGCATCACACAGTTCACATTTATGCGGTTTCTCACCTGTGTGTGTTCTCATGTGGAATTTCATTTTACCTATCAGTGAAAATCTTGCGTCACACAGTTCACATTTATATGGTTTCTCTCCCGTGTGGGTTCTCATATGGGCTTTTATGTAACGTAACTGCGAAAAACTTGCATCACATAGTTCACATTTATATGGTTTCTTTCTTGTGAGAGTTGTCACGTAGGCACTACACCCGTCACGCTAATACGATTTCTCGCTGGTGTGGACGGTGCGGATTTTCACGTTACACTCACGAGAAAAGGCTTGCATCACAATTCACACTCATACGGTTTCTTGCTAATGTGAGCAACGTTCCCTGTCAAGCGACCAGCAATGGCACCGTTCACGCAGATCGACTGGGGAATGCCTTCCTCCTCACCGTCTTCTTCTCTCACCGTCTTCCGGCTGTAAAACGATTTCTCCCGGTCCTTCGTTTGCGCTAAACTGAAAAAGCTTGCATCGATGCACGTGATGTTGGAAACGTAGCACGGAAACTTCCGAGCTTACTCCCAGCTGCTCCGCTAAGCTGTTGGAACGCCGATCCAGAGTTTTAGTCGTTCATCTGCAGCTAACGGACACGGTGGTTCCTGCAGCAAGCGACGTGACGGTTAGGTAGGGCTTGTAACACACAGCCGATCGCCGTAGGATATGAGCTAGCTACGGAACACGCAAAAATCCCGCCCTGTGGGTTTGCTTTCGCCTGATCGACCTCCCGCCGAGCTCGAAGTTAGATACCCAGGCGTTTAGAGAATGTAGGCGTGTACGCCAAAGGTGATGACAAACATAAGGCTGGATCCGTGATTGCCGCCCGCGCAGCTCAGAAGTGACGCCAAAGTCTCCTGCTGATACGACGTGGAACACCTATAGATGTGTAAAATGAGATTTTTTTTCTTTGAGATAATGTAAGCTGTAAAATAGGCTCAGATAATTCAATGTGATGTTATGTTATTTGAATTGAACCACTTGTACTTTTCTCACCACTCGTCTGGTTTTTCAGCTTAGAATTTGGAACGTAAGTGACCCAAGTGGAGCTTTGCGCATAATATTGCCTTGCCAAAAATCTTATTCTAGTGCTACGCGCTACCCAAGGTAATGCCAGAAGATTAATCATCTTTTATAATTGCACTTACTTCCGCCTCACTCGAGTGTTTTGATGCAGATATAGGGTTCGTGCTGAGAGCCCAGAATAGCGCTAATGTGCGCACAGTAGCGCTTCAATAGGAGCAGAATTCTCGCCGCATTGTATGTCACTCAAGTCACACCTTTTCTTTCCCATGTTGGTCTCGACAGTGTCATCACTCTCTAGGAGAAAAAATTAAATGTAATATTTCTGAACAGTTCTTCCATAGAAGTTGTTACAAATCCTCGCCTAACACTAACCTAGTACGTGAGTACCCCGCCAAACAGGTAGTCAGGACGAGATATTGCTGGCAATAGTTCTTGGCACTCCCATAATACATAAGGTGCTCTTTGTGAAAGGCGCGAAGCAAGGCTATACTGCGTAAGACAAGTGTACTAGTTGGCATTACTGGGCCCGCCACATGACCCGCCGTTTGCGAATAGCGGAGCTAGCGCTAACCTTCGAACCCTCGTATGGTTCCTCCCCTTTAAAATGGGTGAACGATTATCCAGTTCTAGCTAGGGGCGCCGAAGCTAACTTTGGGCAGTTCCACGTCCCGCTTCCGTAGGTGCCAGACATGAATGAGAAACCATTAAAATTTTTCACACTGCTCTACGTTACCACTCAACGAGCAATAATGTAATCTTATACACAGTAAATGTGCATGCAAGATTTTACAAAGTTTACCTGCATGAAATACGATAGATATTGAGTATTTATCGTCTTGCCCAAGTACTCGACGCAATTTCATCCATGCCTATACCACAGTGCAGTCCATTAATATGATTAGTGGCAGTGCGTACCTATTTTTCGCGAGGTGTATAATGAGGACTTTTTCGGGTGCCTGATATGACTTGTAGATGAGTGGATTTAAACTCTTACCTATTCGCCTCGTATGGTGCCACGGTATAGATACGTTAGAATTGTATTAGTTTTTGTTGGTAGTAGTACTGGATATGTGGCACTCACAGACCATTCCGACCGATGAGTTGCCGTGACATGCTGTCTGCGAAAGAGCTTCACTTTCTTTATGATTGGTTTCTATGGTTGCAGGAGTCCTATTAGTTAGCTTAGATTTTGCATGCCCCTACTTGGATTCTTACCCTTAAAAGTTTGACAATAAAATTATTAGCAAATGCCGCCCCAGTGGTAATAGTGCACTGATTTTTGTAGCATATGAAATAGTTATTGCATTGGTCAACATGACTAACTTGTTTTCTCAAGATGTATGCACAATGACTATACTTCTAGTGTGTCTGCGCGGGACGAGATTTACTAGGACACGCTTTGTATGGGTGAAATGCTTCTGTAGGTTTACTTTCTACATCTGCTTTTAAGTTCTCCTATTCCGTAGCCATACTGACAAGTATGCTGATCTGAGTATATACTCTTGAACGAAATATTAAGCGTATCCAGCTGCCTTGCATTCCCATCCATCACTATCATTTTTCACTGCTTACCCGGCCTCTCTTCTAGTGGAGAAACATCCTCCTAAGTATGTCGTATGGACTCTAAGTTATGGCACAACTATTCTAGGTTAGACTCGCGTGGCATGGGCTACGATCAGTAGCGCTTTAAAATAGCAAAACGATGGGTGTATCGCTCTAGAAATTTGATGGTACTGAAATATTGTTTTCACCTTTGGGATCGATGGAGGAACAAAAGTAGTTACTGTAAATGTTATGGTCCTAATAATTTTTAATTGTAAATTTTTATTTAGTGCAAACGTGGAAAAACTATTCTGTTATCGTTGGCATTCCCCCATGGGCTTGCCACCAGGTTCTATCCCATACAAAGCTTGAGACTTAGGTTGCAATATGTTTTACCGTTTCACAATTAATCACTGGTAGTAACCGTATGTAGTAACTTTTTTCTTTTTATGCATTTAGCTACTGAAATAGATATGTTAGGGCCGCTTTCTTTATTTTAATATAAGTATTAGCGCCGGGTGAGGACTTGGTGTTTAGAACTTATGTATTTAGTAGTAGGTTAAGTTTTTCACCTGTCGCTTCGGAGAACTCATAGCATCGCGCTTTTTAGGCTATAGAAGGCCATAAGGCTACTAAGCTAGGCTGTCCTACTCGCGAACTCGGTAGCTAAGCTACACCACAGCCTAAAGCTTGTTCAGTGTGTCCCTTGTGACTATAGTGTGTCTAGGCCTAGTGTGGGATTAATTTACGAATTGCGCAACTCTTTAATTTCAGTAGAATTTTTTGTGTCAGAAAATAGAGTGAGGAAATATAAATAGAAGAGGTCGAGGATAAGTGAACCTTAATATTACGAATAGGATTCGAAAGTTTGATAAGATTCACTAATAACAGGGGTCAAATCGCCCAGATAACCAAGGCTTAATGTACCGAGTTAGACTTATCTATGCAGGATTGACGAACCTAAAAATATCACTGAAATGATGATAAACTTACTAGAATGCAGAAAGTTGAGTAAGTGTGTCCTACAAGATGTGGTTTATTCTGAATGACCTATAATAAGCTAACTTTATTTCGCAAAGGAAAAGAAAGTGTCAATACTTAGAAT